TAGAATTCACTCAAAAAATCAGTATATTAACACTGGCTATCATTTTTATATAACAATTAATTGGACCTGAGTAACCTTGGCCCTCAATGGATGAGGCTTATTCTCTCCAATTCTTCCTACTTCCTAAAATCTCCCTGACAAAGGGCCAAGACTGAATTGCATTTGGAGTTTGCATTGGTGCTACCTCCCACCATCTTCACGCCTCCACCCTCAGGCTCCTTTGCTCATTTACAAAACGGTGTCTCACTTGGGTGAACCTCATGAACTTGCCACCAGGGATCATATTCGTTTGATTTACACAAGGAGACAGATTTAAAGATGTCACGTGGGGGCAGAAACCAGTGTCAACATCTCTTACCCATCCAGTGAACTGTCATCTATTTCTAAGTCCTGCTCTCAAGCTCAGATGAGAAGGCAGCARGCTTTGTAAATCATTCAGAGTCTGAGAACAGCTGGAAAGGTCCAGAGATTTAACAGAGTTAAACACAGGCAAAATGAGGGTCATCCACACAGATACAGATGGGCATCATCATCTACCTGCTTCCCACATTCTTGTCATGCTCTCTGTGTTGCCAGACCCTTGCTATAGCTTATCTGTCTTCCATACAACCCTCCCCAAAGCTTGGCCAAGGAGTGGTGTTCTGGTACAGAAATCCATGACRATGCTATGGGCCCTGAAGTCCTCTTCTGCTTCATATAAATTTATACATGATCATGTGGAGTCCAGACTGTTGTCTGAACACACTTTAGTATTCTATGTACAACTAGTACGTTTGCTGTACACCTTCAAAAWAAAAAAAAATTAAGACATAACACTGATGTGTATGGGATGCTGAAATAGAAAAGTATCTGGTGCATTGGGGGAATAATGAGAGTACTGAAATCTTCCAGAGAATCTGTCTAGTTTGCATCACATATTTGAGGCTATCAACATTTGCGAATGTTTTTCTCATCCCATATCCTGTCTCTATTCGAAGAGTTCATTTCTTTTGAGTGGTTTATTAAAGTATAAGATCATATAATAATTTTTTTTCAGTATTGGGGATTGAACTCAGGGGCACTCTACAACTGAGCTACATCGCCAGCCATTCACATTATTATTATTATTATTATTATTATTATTATTATTTACTTTTAGACACAGTCTTGCTAAGTTTCCAAGACTGTCCTTGAACTTTTGATCCTCCTTCTTCAGTCTCCCAAGTCAGATCATAAAATAGTTTTAAGGAGTATTAAGATGTTGAAAAATGCCCCATTATTGAATGTGTAGAGGGAAATTGATCTGAATGATGGGAATGAGGATGCCAAGAAAAAAATGGAGGAATACTCCTGCAGGTACCAGGCCCAAGTTCTAACTGYTATTAATAAAGGTTACCATGTATGACACCCTTATTAGTGAGAGCACAACAGTTCAAAGCATCAGCTCTGGAAGCAGATGGCTTGGATTCAAATTCCTGTGCTACCATTCACTTAATTAAGTTGCCTTATCAAAATTCTCAGCCTAAAATAAAAATAATATCTCCCTAGGTAACATCACATAAGTGGCTCCCCTTACGTAAGTATGTTTAATAAACACTATGACTATTAACGATTGAAACAGATAATAGAGATGTTTTCCTATCACAATTTGAATCAGCTAAGTTATTCTACCATAAGATTGCCAACTTGGGGGGAAGCACTGTTGGATATGAATAAAGTTTTGAAGGCTATTTGGAACACATTCCTTTTTTATAGTGATAGGAAGCAAACATCATTGAGATTTTAACAGTTTGTTCATTTTAGGGGGAAACTTACAAAACTGAATATAAAGTCAAAAAGGAGGTAAAGGATGCTAAGATTGTTGGCATGACTATAATAATTTTTGTCACATTTTAACTTATTAGCATGACTTTTCTTGTTCTCCGTACTTTACCCCTATTTTACCTCCCAATATTATCTAGCTTACATTCCAGTTTCCACCCACTTCAAATTGCTCCATTTCCTTGGATCACAACAGACTTYCATACCTCTGTGCCACTCTCATTCCAGTGGCCACTTTATAACAGGGAGCTCCCTTCTCAAGTCCCAGCTGAAATGCTGCACCCACCACAAACATTTCTCAGTTCTTAATGAATGAACTTCTCTTTTTCTTTGTCATCCAACTGCAGCCCATTGATGTTCTGTCCTATGACTCCATTCATACTATCTTGTATTGTTAATATTTAATAAACATGCCTATCTTTCCCATTAGCTTAAGTCATCAAAAGAAAGGATCATTCTTTCTCTTAAACTCAATATTAGGTTAGAGTTCAATTCCTTTATCCATAGAGAATTCATTGGTTTGTGTGGGTGGATGGGGGGAATTCCCAAATAAAATATCAGCTAGCTCAAAAACTATGTGTTTTTGCAATCCTTTTTTTTTTTTTTTGAACCACATCCCCAATCCTATTTTGTATTTTATTTACAGACAGGGTATCACTGAGTTACTTAGTGCCTCACTTTTGCTGAGGCTGGCTTTGAACTCACAATCCACCTGCCTCAGGCTCCAGAGCTGCTGGGTTTACAGGCATGCACCACCATGCCCAGCTGCAATCCTTAATTAAAATTAAACCCTTAACAAGGGATGGTAGGAAGGGGAAGTATAGAAGTTCATTGGATTAGATGAAGGGGACTGAAGAGAAGGAAGGGGAAATGGGAATACGAAAGACAGTAGAAAGARGCAGATGTAACTTTCCTATGTTCATATGTGAGYACATGACCAGTGCAACTCCAAATCACGTACAACCACAATGGGATCATAATTGGAATGGGTTGCACTCCATGTATGTATAACATGTCAAAATGTCAAAAACCCTACTGTCATGTATATCTAAAAATAAGAAAAAAGACTGAAGTCATGGGATTGAGGATGTGGCTCAGTGGTAGGGAACTTACCTAGCATGCCTAAGGCTCTAAGTTCTATCCCCAGTAATAGGGGTGGGGGTGGGGGGGGTGGATCTAAGTCACTAGGTGATACATTCCTGGAAAGTTGTAGTTTCTCAAGCAAGACCTCGACTCATTTCATCTTCCCACAGGCCTTCTACACTCTCCTGCATTCTATGAATAAAGCTCACTGTAGAAAAGAAAAAAAAAACATATATTTGAGGGTTCTAAATATTGGGGTGAGAAGGTAAAACTTGAAAATCTGACCACATCTAGTTGTTACCTTCTAGSTCTACAATCTGTCCAGATAGATTCAGACACCAACCAATGCACACCACCATCACTACCAGTTTCCCAGAGTCCAATCCAAAACCAGTAAAGATTTCCTAATGTCCTGAACTACCTTACCATACCTTTTGCCCTTCCAGAAATTCATCCTATAGATCTGAAGGGCCCCTGTCATCCTAAGAACCTATACACAAAATGAACAATCCAAGGATGCTCTTAAGCTGCTTAGTGGAACCAATAATATGAGTTGGTGCAAGATTTCAAGTTAAAGAATTTTATTATCTAATTTCTACTTTCAAGAAACTGTAGGGAGAGRAAATCTTGGTTTTGGTAAACTAAACCTATTTTCTGCATTTACATACTACCTGAATGGGACTGTAATCATGTAATGTATAATCTGTCCTTCCATTTCATAATCTTCTCTAGCTTCTTCAGTGGTCTGTCTATATCTACCTTAAGGATTTGTTCTTCTTTTTTCTTTTTTCTTTTTCAGTACTGGAGGTTGAACCCAGGGTGTGTGTGGGAGCAGGGAAATATACTCCCATCCTTTTTATTTTTTATTCTGAAACAAGATCTTGATAAATTGCCCAAGATTGTAGCTCAGTGGTAGAGTGCTTACCCAGCAAGAGGAAGGCCAGGTTCAATGCTCAGTACTGCCAATATACATTTTCAATTTTTTTTTTTTTTGTACCAGGGATTGAACTCAAGGGCATTTAACCACTGAGCCACATCCCCAGCCCTTTTTTTGTGTTTTAATTAGAGACAGGACTCACTGAGTTGCTTAGCGCCTCACTAATTGCTGAGGCTGGCTTTGAACTTGCTATCCTCCTGCCTTCCCCAGCCGCTGAGATTTCAGGCTTGCGCCTGGCTTCAATATACATTTTCTATGTATCTCCAAACTGTGGTAGCCCAGGAGATTTGTCCAATGAAAGTTATATCAAGTAGCTTACTGTATAAGTTATATAGTTAGTATGAATGCTGTCTATTTTTCCTGGATGGTTTGTGCCAGGTAGATCTGGCATCCCTAGAAGGCAAAGCACTGATTTGTTTTTAAAAATAGTTATCTCTCTGGTAAGCCTCTGGGYGGTTCTGAAGCCAGGGTTTGTATAAGCAGCAAGTTCCGCTGGGTGGTCAGGTAGCAGAGGTGCCAGTGCCTCTAGAGATCCTGGAGCAGGCAGGGCTCCTGGGCTGGCCCAAGGGCTTTCCCGGGTGGTGCTGAACCTGGCGAAGCCAAGCGTAATCTGCCAGCCTTGAGCCCTGCGTGCTGCTTTCCTAGCAGCCCAAGCGCACCCAGGGCGYCCCAACACCGACTCTCTCTCGGGGACCTTGCTTGAACCCAATCCTGACCAGAGGCCTATTCTCTCTCTCAAGGAAATGGGGGCCCATCTGGATCCCACGCCTTTGCTCTGCCCCCAACTCCTGAAACTATCTCCGGAGTTCTAAGACATAACGCCGCTAGCCCCATCCCAGGGCACCGTCCTCCCTCTAGGACCCCCGTTCTTTTTCTCTGCCTGTTCCACGCACAATGTAGCCCTCAGATTCCCGGGGAAATGTGCTCACCGCGGAGAAGCACTCCATCCAAGAGCCGGGTGTTAGCGATGGTCGTGAGAGCACCGCGCACACTCAGCTCCCAGCACATACCCCAAACAAGAAACCGGTTACAAGTTGACCGTCCGCGGGTGACAGCGTCGTGGCCATCTCCTTCTACTGCTCAGAGTGCCTACGAGAAGTTACGTCTCGCCTCCAGGAGGCTAGGCAGCAGAAACGGCCGCACACCCTTGGGACCCTCCCCGGGAGCCCTAGCCCTTTACCTGAGTACCGGCCTCGGAGGGGGCTCCGGGGCGCAGCACCCGGCGCAGGCCGGGCAGATGGTGCGGTAGGGACCGCGGCTGCCGCTCTCCCCTGCAGCTCCCGGCCGGGCGGCTATTTATCCSGAGACCCGGCCCCTGCAGCTGTATTGGGCAATCAGTCCCGCTACGCCTTGTCCCGGGGGCCGCCGCCCTCTGCCCCCGCTGAAACCTGCGGCGGCGGCGGCCACATGGAGCTGGGGAGCCTGCCCTCTCCTTTGGGCTCCACCTTTTTTCTTCTCTTCCTCCTCCCTGCGAAGTTTTCCCCCCAGTTTTTCCCCCTTGTTTCTCTTCTTTGCCGGGCACCCTGGCCAGTCTGAACCGGTTGTGACTGCGCTGGTGGCTGGGGGAAGGAGGAGGAGGAGATGGAGGCAGAAAAGCGGGCGGTAGGGGCGCTGCGCCTGCTCTCGTGGCTCCAGGCTGGGCCCAGCCAGGAGGAAGGAGGACACTGCCTGACGGCGGCTGGGCCCAGCACTGAGCCACCAAGGCCGCAGGAGAGGTGGGCACCGCTGGCTAGGCGCCCTCTCCATGCGGACACGCGCGCGTTCCTTGGCACCACTGCGCCCAGCCGCCGCCCACTGTGTGCTGTAGTCCTGCAGGCCAAGAACCGTGTGCATTTGTGGGGATCCGGAGTCTGGCTATGAATGCAAGTCCCCCTTCATCTCTCTGGCTTCCAAGGCCACCTGGCGCCCTGCTGGCCAAAGCTGTATACCCAACTGGCAGTGATCCAGAGAAACCAGTACCAGAACTCCTGGGCAGTGGGAAGTAAAAATGCCAAGTGCTGTCTTTTGTGACAGCTCTGCTAGAAAGGATGGCGTCCTGCAGTGCACAGGAGAGGGAGTGAGGGAGGCAGCCAGAGAGAGGGAAAAGAGAAGGAGGAGGGAGAGGGAGAGAGAGAGAGAGAGAGAGAGAGAGAGAGAGAGAGAGAGAGAGACTGATACTGCATATGAGGATGGTCAGTCTGCCCAGTAATTGACTGAACTGCACTAACAATACCATCTTTGGCGGTTAACGGGAGCTAACATGGATGTGTGCTGTATTCCCAACAGAAAATCACTGTAACAAACTGGACACAGTTCCTAGATACCCATGGGGTTCACCAGGTGTGGGACCCCAACTCCAGTGATAGGCACTTTCTGTATTAGTGTGTGTGTGTGTGTGTGTGTGTGTGCACCCGCGCACTTTTTTTCTGGAAAGCAGCACTGCTTTTCTACTCAAAGTAAAAAGGGGACTAGAGCCCTGCACCAATTCAGTGAGTATCCCCTTTACACAATGAAGGATTTTATTTCAGACCTGGACAAAGACTACATCTTGTAAAAAATTGATGTCAGAAAGCCAGATTAAGCTTTGTAACTCTCTTGAGCCTTATATGTTATAAGTTTCCTTRCTTATAACATCAGAATGAGATTCCCAGACTCTTGCTTGCATCATGGAGTCTGTGTGAGATGAGAATTAAAAAAAAAAAAGAAAGAAAGAAAGAAAAGAAAAGAAAAAAAGGCCTGTGAAATCTGGCTGCACCTGTCATGGTTTTTCTACAATACAGAAATGGTGAAGGTCATCCTTTCCCCCATGTCATTCCTTTCTATTCAATTTACTGACTTCCAGGTTATGGGAAAGGAAATAAGCAGKTTTTTGTTTTGTCCCCCTCCCCTAAAAGGAAGAAAGAGTAAGGAATATATTACTACAGTAAGAATTGGAGAGAGGTGGTCTCAAATAGTTTCYGGATGGAATACAAATGAAAAGGTGATGCTGTTGTTACCAATCTTTGTCCCCAGATTGGTTCCCTTTTCTCTCTTAGAATTGCGGAAATAGAAATAAGACTGAGCTCAATTGAGCAGTTGAGGAAGGTTTATTCTTGACCAATAATAGGAGAAGCAGGGAGAAAGGCTCAAAGATCAGCCTCTCTGTTGGGGATTGGAAGGTTATAGATATAAAGGCAATGAGGGAGAAAGATGGGCTAATAAAGGAGGGAATATAATGCCTTTTCTGAAAATGGGTGCAGATTTTCTGCAAATTTACATGTAATCTCTTTCCCTTCCTTTCTTGATTCTTTCTGGTCATTTTCAGGACGATTAAGAACCTCATATGGAATGAAGGGGTGTGTCATTTAGCATGCAGAAGGATTTATAATGAAGTTTGCATTTGTCTGATGATTCCTCTAGCAGCCATCTTCAATCCCACTGGTTTCAGCTAGCCCACCAGAAGAGAAACTTCTGGCTCTTAGTAATACTGTCCTCAAAAATAAGCAAGAGTAGGATGGGATAGAAGTTCAATGGTGTCTCACTATTGTAATCCTAGTGAATCAAGAGGTTGATGCAGAAGGATTGCAAGTTCAAGGACAGCCTAGGCAATTTAGCCATCTCAAAATAAATATTTTTAAAAGGATGGGATTGAGTGCAGTGTCAGTCTTCAGCACCCTGGGAGGCTGAAGCAATTGGATTGCAAGTTCAAGATGAGCCTCAGCAACTTTGTGATTTCTCAGCAGCTTAGCAGATCCCTGTTTCAAAATAAAAATAAAAAAGCCGGGGGGCGTGGCTCAGTGTAGAAGTGTTCCCTGGTTCAATTCCCAGTACAAATAAATATATATATACAAAGGGGGATGGGGATGTAGCTCAAAGGTAGAGTGTTTGTCTAGCAAGGGAGTAGCCCCTGGGAGGAAAAAGAAGTTCATCTGGGCTACCTAGACAGTACAGAATAGGGTGGGGTAACACTGTCAACACCATCAAAAACTTATTTCTGAAGAGGAGGTGGACCTAGTAGGGGCTGCTTATCACATTCTATTTTTGACCTAGCTTGTAGTTACTCAGGTGTGTTAAATTTGAGATAATGTGTTAACATGTACACTGGTAATTGATGAACTTTTTGTATATGCTTTAATAAAAGATAGTGTAGAAAGTTATTTCTTTGATTTAAATAGATTCTAACATCAGAGCCCATGTCTTCTTGATCATGGTCAAACCACTCAATGTATGTGAAATTCTATGATAGGAACACAAAACCCTACTTGGAAAATATTTCATCACACCAAATAGCTTCTGAAATCTATGTACTTATTCGACTGAAAGCTCAATCCTCATCCTCAACACCAATCCAATAACAAAGACAAGGTATTGAGAAAAATGAAAAGAAGGTTTATTTCTTTGCTAACAAAGAAGAAACACAGGGGACTCCTGTCCCAAAGATGTGATTCTGCCTATCCACAGGTACAGGGGGGCTTTTATAGAGGTGATTCAGAGGAAATGAGAATAGGGAGGAGAGATCAGGTAGGAGAAGATCAGGGAGGAGAAGTTTAGGGAAAAGAAGATTGGGGAATATGAACTCCCGCTTTTACCCCGTATACAAATTGCTGTATCACATCAGTTACCCGTAATATGATGTATTAAGAACTATGTAATGTTATGAACGACCAATAAAAAAAAAAAAAAAAAAGAAGATTGGGGAAAAAGGAAAACAAATGTATAAGTTTCAAAGCCACAAGGGATATAGTCTAAGCATCAAGTGAACCCTTGTTACACTTACCCACACCAAATTTTTTTCCAGATCTCTCTACTGGTCAGTAAATAGCCATCACTCTCATTTCTACCCAGAACTGAAAATGAGTTTGTCCTCACACACAGGCAAGTTCACAGCTTAGAGTAAGGCTAGACTCTAGGGGTTGAAAACTCAAATGGCTTCAGGGCCAGTCTTGTTTCATGAATGAAGTAGACAGAAGGCAGCCTGGGGAACTTAGCATAGGACCTGACAGTGGGGTGATGGCTGCTTGGCACAGGGGATACTTGCCAGGCTGAAGTGTRAAAACTGTGTCCTGTAACAGGTCATCGTTCAGTCACAATGCAGCAAATCACTGAGACATTCAAGAGAATTCAGAGGTCTAGTCCAATCCCCACACTGTCCCTAYGGATGGAATTTGACCCGGGGAAGCTTGAGAAGTGCCTCCATCACTGGGGAGGGGAAGGGCAGTTAGGTTGGCAGAGAGAAAAACTAAATCACCTCTCTACGGGTCAGTATTTATACACGCACACTCATGCACAAATATGTTACAATGAACATAAAGCCATTTTATGTATTAAAAGAGAAAATAAAGGGGGGAAATCCCATGATATTTTATTTAAAATATTTACTTAAAATATTTTTTTGGTGAGCAAAAAATTTTTTTAAAACACCTCCTTATGCTCCCAAATATTCATTCCCAGCAGCATGAAAAATGCAAGGTCTGCTGGCAAGGTGAGGGTCACGTAAGTTGAATATTGCTAGTTTTCTTGCTCTGAGGAGCATCTGTCCAGTTCCTCTCACCAGGTCCCAAAGTTCATGTAGCTTTTGCATTGCTGTGACCAAAATGCTTGGCAAGAACAATTTAGAGGAAGGAGAGTTTATTTTGGCTCACTGCTTCAGAGTTCAGTCCATGGTTGGCCAACTCCATAACTCTGGGCCTGAGATGAGGTAGAACATCATGGCAGAAAAGGATGGCAGAAAAAGGTAGTTCAGAACACGGCAGTCAGGAAGCAGAGAGAAAGAGTTCTGCTCTCCAATGTATAAACCCCAGTGAACTATTTCCTCCAGTCATAACTTACCTGCCTACAGTCATCACCCAGTTAATCCTTCTCTGTGGATCAATCCACTGAGGTTACAGCTCTCATAATCTAATCATTTCACCTCTGAACATTTCAAAAGCTTTTGGGGGACACTCATATCCAAACCATAACTATGTACTTTCAACCAGATGGAGTGAGAGAAAATGGTAGGTCATTAAATAAGGTGGACCTAAATGAGCCTGCCTTGGCAAGAAAAGAAAGCAAAGTTTTTGAAGGAATCGGTACAAAGATGATGCCCTAAAAGCAGGAGTTAATGCTTTCCTCAGCATTATTCTTATTATGGAGCACTTGTTAAGAACTTTGTTTGCCAAGTGTAGTAGTGCATGTCCATTATCCCAGTTACTCTGGTCACCGAGGATTATAAATTCAAGGCCAACCTGGACAATTTAGACCCTGTCTCAAAATAAAAATTTTTAATAAAAGGGGCTGGGGAGTAGCTCAGTGGTAGAGTGCCCATGGATTCAATCCCCAGTACCGGGTGGGGCTAGAGGCAGGGAGAACTTGGTAATTTGTGAAATATTCTAAGGTTTCCCTTTCCTGAACTATTTGCTAGGTCAGTACTTTAGAGAAAGAAATTAACCCCAAATTGYTCCTTGGTCCTCACCCCAGTGTGGAAGGAGAAGCAGAGAGAGCAGAGAAAGGTTTCAGTAGGGTAGGGGCAGGGAATGCACAGGACCTGCCCAAATCACACTGGTCCCACAGTTGCCCAGCTGACCAAGATTTCCTCCCTAAGTTATTTTATTCTTCTGACACGTTGGTTGTTCTTC